ATTAGCTAGTAGATAGTAGCTAATAGATTAGTATATATATACTCTTACTTTTCTTTATTACTACTATAAAGTTATAGAACGTTTATATTATTATTATTATTATTATTAGTCTTACTACCTATGTCTAATATATATAGAACCTCTATACTATATAAATCACGTAGTAAAACCGTACTAAAGCCGGGTAAAAACCTACGTACTACCTTTTATAAATACTTTATTACAGCGCTACTAAGGCGCTAAGACCTTATTACTACCTTACTAGAACTTAACCTTCTAGCCTAGTAATACTAAATATACTAATAAGACACTAGTAAGACACTAAAAAAACGCCGGCCGTTAACTAGGATTACTCTCCTTCTTTCTTAGCTAGGTAGTACTTAGCTAGCCTAAACTATAAGAACCGGCTAGTAGATAGTAGCTAGTAGATTAGTATACGTGTACTCTTTCCTTTCTTTATTACTACTATAAAGTCGTAAAACGTCTATAGCGCCCTTAAGTAGAGTACTTACTATAAGGCCTGCCGCTATTAGTTAAGCTACTAGTAGTTAAGGACTAGGTAAGCTACTATCTCTAGGGCCTTACTATAAGGACACTAAGGAGTTACTACTTCTAGTACTCTACGTTTAAAAAGAAAGGCCTAGAGCCTAACCTTACTAGTATAGATCTACGTTAAAAGTAAGCTCTTGTACTTATAAAGGAGTAAGTACTTCTTAAGGGTATTTACTAAAGAGACAGGTAGTATAGCTAAGGTAGTACCTTAGTAGTGTACTAGCGAACTATTATATTAGGTCTATTATATCCTCTAGTTCTCTTATAAGGTCTTCTCTAATAAAGAGTCCTTACACTAGTCCTTTGTTTATATAGCTTAGCCTACCTTATACTTAAGTAACGTATAGAGTAGTGTTATAGTAGTGTCGTAATAGTGTCTCTAGTATTATTAAAGGCAGGTCGCTACTTTATTATAGATAGACTATATAAGTTTGTCCTTACTTATACGTTTAAGACGTTATTTAAAGTCTATTACTTACTTATTAAGGTAGAGATTAAGTAGAGATATAGCTATTTTAGACTTAAGAAACTAAACAAGAGTCGCTTAGTACGTCTTTATAATAATATAAAGGCACTATAACTACTTTATAGTAAGGTCCTTTACGATCTCCTTAGCTTGTTACCTAAAGAGACAGTACTAGACCCTTATACTATATACTATAGTACTCTAGATTACCTTTATATAGATCTTTCTTATACGTAGTAGGCTATATCCTTATATAGACACGACAAGCCTTATAAGTATAAACTACTAGGTAGTAAACTTTTGTTTAATAGCGTTAAGGTAGCCCTTTTACCTAAGCTTTTAATCTATCTAAACTCTTAGAAAGTAGGCCTCTTAGACTAAGGGTATAACCTAGCCGTTAAGGTAGATAAGCGTCGTTAGTATAGTATAGGCGTAAGTAAGATAAAAGAGCTTACTCTTTTTAAGAGCAAACTTTATTTCCTTTATTTATACCTACTAGCTATAGGTCTACTACGCCCCTTTAAGGTACTAGTATATCTCTATTATGTCTTTACTAAATACTAAAAGGTTAAGGTCGTTAGTAAACCTTACTATAATAAGGCTTATATGTCTTTATAGTAGTGTAAACAAGCTAGTAGTATAGAAGAGAAAAAGGATAAGAGAGAAGGGCAAGCCTTATAGTACCCTTATAGTAACCTCTTAAGATAGTGCTGCCTCTTTATTAAAGAAGAGGCTAGCTATCTAATTAGTAAGAAAGCTATAAACCTACTATATAGTCTATATAAAGAACCCTAGGTATTAGAGAGTATAAAGAAGGCATATATAGTTTACTATATTAAAGGCGCCTTTAATGTCTAGTTAAAGAAGGGACGCTATAGCCTTATAGCTTTATACTATATATATAGTATCGACTACTATTTTAACTATAAGGTCTGTTAAGTGTTATAGCCGGTTTCTTATCTATATTTTTAGAAAGAGCCCTTACGACTCTATAGTGTTAGTAAAGCGCTAGCTAATTACTAACTTAATTACTTTACTTATTACGCTTAAGAGTAATATTAGCCTATAGGCCCTAGCGGTTTGTTACTGTTTAAGGGTCTTTCTAGGCTTATATAGTACTATTACCTTTACTACTTTAAACTACGCTAGGACGTACCTTAGCTAGAGGCTTATAGTTACTACTACTATAAGGAGCTTAGCTAAAGGGCGCTTATATACCTTAAGAAAGCTAGTAAGTAGTAGGTTAGGTCTTAGCGCCTTTTAGGTACCTGTCTTTTAGAGAACGTTAGTAATGTCTACCTTTATTATAGTGTTGTTAATAGTAAACTACTAGTACTACTTGTCCTAAAGGTCTAGAACAACGTTACTAAGATTAGCTACTAATTCTAAAAAGAACTATTAGCCTAATACTATTACTTTATTATAGTAGCTTATAGCTAGTGCCTCTTTATTAGCGCCCTAAAGAAGAGAGAGTAAGGCTAGTTCTAAAAGTACGTAGCTATAAAGCCTAGCTTATCTTTTAAGACTCTAGAGCTTTTATTAGTCTTTTAAGGTAGTAGTAAGGGCACTATACTAGCTCTTAGTCTTTATATCTTAGATCGTCTAGAGTTAGTAAGTACTAGCCTACTAGAGGTCGTACTAGTAAAGTTTAGTTAAGGTAGTAGTATATTAATAGCGCGCTACCTACGTTTTCTAGATAGCCTTAAGGACCTTACTACTTTACTAAGGTTTAGTACGCCTTTAGCTAACCTTCTTTCTTAGGGTAGATAAGTCTATAATACGTATAAGCTAGAAGGTAAGTAAGTTAACCGCCTTATTAACCTTATAAGGTATGTCTAGCGGCTTAGAAAAGAAGTAGAGCCTCTTAGCCTTAATTACTACTAGCTCTTAGTCTATTAGGGTCTAGCTCTACTCTAGTGTCTTTACGGCTCTCTTATAGTAATCTCTTACTTAAGTAATAACCTTAATTAGCTAGGCGTAGTAGTTAGATCTCTTATACCTTAAGTTACCTTAGTAAGTATACTAAAGCGTTACTATAGCCTACACGTAATTAATCGTTAAGTCTTGTTTACTATATCTCTTTTAGGTTAGCTCTTTTTAAGGTATATATAGTAAGAGCCACTACTTATAGGCTAGATAAAAAAGGGTCTCTAATTTAGGGGTAGTCTTACTAGCTTTATCTTAAAGTAAGTAGTAAAGGTTTATATTACTTATAATAATCTATAGCCCTTTTAGGTCCTTCTTAGTAAGCCGCTAAAGAAGGCTAGTCTAGCTAAGAGAGTTAGGAATTAGTAAGTATATTAACTAGATAGTAATACCTTATAGAGTAACGTAATACTAGTCGACACTAGTCTCTACTACTTAGGTAAGAAGTAGGTACTACTTATAAACATAGATAACTATACGGCCTTTACCCTTATAG